AGGTAACAAATTCATTTGATCTTTTTCTTCCTTTCTCTTACTCATGTACTCTTTAATTTCTTCTCTAATACTAGATGGGCATCTTGTGCATGCACTCACATTTCTATACCCTCCAACTAAGTGTTGCTTAGCGTGATAAATACCTCCTTTTGTAACTTTTGCACAAAAGTTACAAGTGACGGCATTTGTATCTTTCGGATTCTCCAAATGTGAGTAATTTCATGCCGGATCCTTTCTTGAACCATCACTAGGCATCCTTTAAAGTACAAACTACAATCAAATTCAAGATAGCATCATGTAATCAGTGTCTGCAACAACTCTGAAAAAATTAAAAAATACAGAGCTTCAAAGCAATATTAACATTTCAATTTAAATAAAAAAAATACAGAGCTTTGACAAAATGCAAAAAGCAGAATATTATTTCATGCAAAAATAAAAAATGCATCTATCTGTCCATGACTCCATGTTGATGCAGAAAGCAGTGTTGATGCAGAGAGCAGAATATTATTTATATATTATTTCGATCTCAACTAATATATATATATTTATCCCATGTTTGGATGCTGCATTAATTGATAGAAAATTTGAGTTCATCTTGCAAAAAACACATGGATGTGCTATTATTATTTTTAAGTCAAATCAAATCTAATTTTCATTAAGCACGAATGAAACGTTTTTGCAAGCTGCAAGCACCATGTTTGGATGCATTAAATAGAAATTATGAATTTATCTTGCAAAAACCACAAGGATGTGCTATATTTTCAAATCAAATCAATCTAATTTTCTATAAGCACCATGATTGATTCTATTTTTCCTTTGTGGGTAAGTGATTGATTGATCTCTATTAAACAGATTAATAAGGAGAAAACAAAATCAACAGAAACAGAGAGGGGATGATCATCAAACACATGCAAGGCACTAATCTAGACAAACCAAAAAAAAAATAGAGGACCAACATAAATAAAAACAGAGGACCAAGTTGGCCTAGCCTAAAAATAAATAAAAAAATCAGCCAGACACGAGGAAAAAAAAAAAAAAAAAAAAAATCTGACGAGAGAAGAGAAGAGAAGAGAGAAGAAGAAGAGGAGGAGGAGAGAAGAAGAAGAGAGAGAAGGAGAACTTACCGGTAGACGCAGATCCGAGACTGAGAGATGATAGATCCGGCAGATCCAAGGGTCTGAGACTGAGAGGCTTCGCAGATATCGCCTTCGTTGCCTCTATCTCTTCTTACATTTTGCTTTTTGGTTCTCTCTTTTTTTTTTTTTTTTTTTTTTTTAATAATAAAAAAAATAACAATAAACAAATAAAAAGTAACAATAAACAATACAAAACCAAAATAATAACAAAACAATTAAAAAAAACCATTTTTCAAGCAAGCGCGCCTGTAGCCTTGCGCCTTTTATACAAAGGCGCTCTCCTTGTTCAACCCGGTCGTCTTAAGGCATTCAAGGCGACAAGCTGGCGCTTGGAGGCGCCTTGCGCCTCAGGCGTGCACCTCCGGCGCCTTTAACAACTATGATTGATAGTTGGAGAGGCCACAGTGTGGGGGCCCATGCCTGTGAGTTTTGGAGGGCGACCCCCCTTTGCATTTGGTGGTGCATTTGGAAAGAGCAGAATCTAAGATCTTTTGATGGGGACGAATCCACCATTGCAGTGCTGAAATTTTCTATTATTAGTTCTCTTTTTAGTTGGGTGAAGGGGAGAAATTGTACATCTATTGATGAAATCGTGGATTTTTTGGGTTCTTTGGGTCCCTAGGATTCTTTCTTTGGCTTCGGCCTTTGTATAGCTATCAGGATGCGTTTCCCTTTTGAATACTTCTATATACACTTTTACTTGTAAAAAAATCCGTCAAATTGGGCCAAAATGTGGACGAATGTCAAAGATTCACGAGCTCGTTTTACTTCTTTTCTATGGGCTTTGGTGATTTTCTATTCTATGGAGAGAGAGAGAGAGAGAGAGAGAGAGAGGTTTGGGTTGGGGAGGGAAGAGAGGAGGGAGCTGGATGGCTACTGGTAGTTGGAGTAATGGGATGAAAAGAAGATTAGGAAAGATAGAAATAAGCGTTTAGGTGGGTAAATCCTAAAGGGTATTTTAGGAAATCTAATTAATTAGGGCATAATAGTAATTTTATTACATAAATGGAGACAAGGCGGGGGCCGGACAGGTTTTTACACCCTAACCCTGTTCTTACTCTGTTCTCGATTAAACCGACCTAAACCGGTCCCAATAGGGGCGGGGTAATTTGCCACCTCTACAAATTTATGTATCTTTGTGTCCTTTGTGGAACTTCTAGTGCTTTGGTGTTGATCCTCCACATCAATTGCATTAGAAACCTTTTTCACACACACACATATATATTTAAACACGCGCACGTATATTAATGGTCGGTATTTGTATATGTTCCTTTTCTTGAATATTTTGCCTTCGTGTCATTTGAAGCTACAATTGTTGTTGTTCAAGTATTAAATGAAAATATTGGTTAATGGTTGTGCAAAGTGCATGAGTTGTCGGAAAAGATATGCTCCCTCTGTCCCAATATAGATGTCATTTTTAGGGAGTAGGAATTTTTAAGGGGACATGTGGGACATGCCTTGTCTCTCTGGATAGTTACTAATTTGTCCTTTTAAGTTTTGAATATTCAAATTTGAAATTTTAAACTCCAAGGACGTATATGGAAAGATGTAAATTATATTGTTTGAAAAAGGAAAGTGACAATTATTTTGGGACAGACCAACAAGGAAAGCATGACATCTTTTTTGGGACAAAGGGAGTATTGTATATCATATATCTGAAGATTACAAATAACGCTAAGGTCATATGTTTTGGTTGCCATACATGAGTATATTATTTGTATGTGTGCTTAAGATATAGTGTTATTGTTAGGGTCAATTAAGGACATGATATTATTTGGTGAAAAGGATAGAGAAATTGAATTGAGGTCTTACAGAAAATGACCACTGCTAACCTCCATTTTATTATTCTAAGGTGCTATTTTATAACTTAATTCTGAACAAATTAAAAGAATTCGTTTGACCTAAATTGGGATAATTATTAGTTTGGGAGACTTCACTTGTCATTCAATATTAAACACTTAAAATTCAAATGAGTATCATAGAAGTTTTATATTAGCACTTAAAATACAACTCTTGAAACTTTTGAAGTGCTTAAAAATTCAATGCTTAAATAATTTAAATTTTATCAAACACCACCTAAATCAAAAGTCCGTACCATTCTTAATAGTAGAGAAAAATGAAAAGAGTAAAGATTGCACTTGCTAATTAAATTACGTGGAAATCATGAAATTCAGATATAATAATGAGAAAATTATTAATAATTTCTATTATGTGTATTCATTGACCCAAGGTCATAGTTATAGCAGATTACTATTAAAAGCAAGAGCTAACAAAGGACATGAACTAGTGGAGCTATTCCCTTACCATTTGACCTATGAGATGTCGGTTGAGTAGAAATGGCTTTAGTTTTTCATGCTGACATATATGTATTGTGTTCTATAAGTTCGAGGATGATAGTCGAATAAAATAAAATTATGTAACATATGGCACATTTTCTTAGTGTAAGTTACCATATGACCGTATGAGGGTATTAACAAAAAATAGATAAATAGAAGTTTGTAAAGGGAAAAGTGCAATAGATTGTTATCTGAAACATTGTAGGGATGTTGAAATATGTTCAGGATAAAAATGTAATATTATTATATATAAGTGGTTTTATTGTTCTTATATCATAGACTTGGTGGTGCAGGACAGGATAGGTTTTCTAGATTGAGTTAAGAGGATGAAAAATGCAATATTATAGGTATAATGACTATTTTAATTTTTATGACACAATCTTACAATATATATATAATTGATGTACATTAAAGGGTGAAAATGATGCAAATATGTAGGACATATGTGTGGTAAAATAAGGGTCATTGATTGATGCAATGGTAAAAACTAAAACTGATATTTTTGAGTGTCCGAGCATTCACTTTGTTCAAAATAATAAAATGTCCAGGGCTGTCTCTAATCTTTCCCTTACACGACCCCACATTGGTGGCAGGCATATTGACTAATGCAATCGTAGGATGAAAATGTGACATATTTAATGACCTTTTTATTTATTTATTTATTATTATCATATGATAACTTTATTAGTATAGGAAATGAGAGGTATTTTGAAATAAATTAGAGGATGAAAATGAAATATAAATATGTATAATGGTGTTATTGTAATATATAATGGCCACAGGAACAAAAAGGGTAAAATATCCTTGCACATGAAGAATGAGTTAAAAACTTCCGGAAAAGGAAGTGAGTGAGACGGAAAAAGCAGCTGCAACAAAAAAGAAATGATTTGGACAAAAGGAAGCAAAGTGGCTTAGGAAATTCTATTATGCCGATTAACTGTAGAACTTTATGTATATTTTCCACCAAGGAAATGAATAATTTTTGTTGAAAATTATTTCAGGTGTAAAAAAATATTTCTTTGTCAAAATCAAGACTTAGGAAAAAGATATTTCTGAAATAATGTTGCTTGTTTATATATAACCTTGCACAGGAAAATGGAGGCAATAACCTCCTTAATATTGGTGGTAGATCTGTATGCATTTTTTGAGGCAAGCCTCGACACAACGGTAAGGTTGCTGCATTGTGACCTGGAGGTCATAGGTTCGAAACACGGAAAAAGCCTCTCCGCATGCGGAGGTAAGAATGCATACATCTGACCCTCCCCAGACCTCGCAATGGCGGGAGCCTCGTGCGTTGTGTTTGCACTTTTATTTGCATTTTTTTTCCCCCGGGAAATGTAAATCACAATTAAAGTAACTTTCGTATGTAAAAAATTTCTTTTTTTCTGGCCAAAACCAAGTTTTAAACAGGGGAAAAAAGTCTTGGAAGAATATTGCTTTTGTGTATATATTTTTTTTTTTTATAAGTGTTTTTCTGTATAACTATATATACACATTGTGTGTAATGTTTTTAATTATTTGTTAACAGGCCCAGCAGTTGTTCCAAAGGGATGCACAGACAATCACACCTGAAGCTCTTGAGAGTGTAAAAGCTGCCCTAGCAAACAGTGAAATTGAGCACAAGGCAGAAACGAAGAAGAAAGCAATTCCTCGTAAAGCTGCAGGGCAGTCTTGGGAGGATCCAACTCTTACAGAATGGCCAGAAAGTATAACTCATTTGCAACCCCCTCTCTCCTCTTTCTTCTCTCTGGGTCTACTATCTGTACGTTTATAAAAAAAAAAGAAATTAAAAAAAGAAATAATAAATAAATAAAATCTAGATCAGTGAGTGACTGAGCATAACAATTATGTGTAACCTGTGAAATGTGGTCCAATTCATTGGATCTGTGAGCATGAAATAGTTTGTGTAAGTTTTACTTGCTCATACTTTTTAAAATTTAATTCTTATTCGGCTTGGTAATTATAATTGTTGAGGACCTAGCATTATAGGCTAAAGTTGAATGCAGAGTGAGTTCAATCCTATGAGTTAAATTTTTAATTTTTTTATAATTTGTGTCTTGTATATTAGAGCAGGGGATTATAAGAAAATATGTTAGAAGTTTCTACCTATGATCTTTCGCTAATAAAAATCTAGGTTCGAACTTTGCTGTGACTCAATTTTTAGGATAATAATGGATTGGCAGAACAGGTCTGGAATAGAACTAAGGTTAGGAGCTGTTTCAAGTGACCTAAAGTGCTGTTTTGATTAAAACAACAAATCAGTGTGAAATTGCTAGAATTATGAGTAAAGACGAAGTGAATGAGAGTAAAGGATGAAAAACAAATAGTCAAGCACTTTTTCAAATAAAGATGTAAGGCTGCGACTTCTTAATTGCATTCCCATAGGGGCAGCAATTCAACCTGATTGACGTGCCCCTGTCCTAGCCTACCCTTTATGAATTTGTGATGTTCTATTATAAGAAATTTGAGGGAAAAGATGGAAGAGACTAGGAACAAGGAGATGGAGAAATAGGAACAAACAGCACAAAAGAGAAGGGAAAAGGAGAACGGAAGAAGACAGTTCAATTTTTTCAAACTAGTTAAAGCTTTATATTGAACATTTACTTTTTCTCTTAAGAAATTATTGCAGTCTTTCTGTAGAATAATGCCCACAATAATAAGCCCCAACTTTGTGTGAGAGCAAATTCTAGCCATTTTCTTGAAACATGAGTAAAAGAAACCCAAAAGATGTAAATAACCTCCAGTTTAGTGGTATACTTGGAAGGATACTTGCTCATCGTGCTACTGCAATCACTATCCAATACAATAGTGTAAAAACACCACTAAGCTACTATGCTACTATTTTGCTAACTACTTGCAAAGTAATATGTTAATATTGCACATGAAATGTATATTCAGTAACTAAGCCAATTATACCTCCATGAACATTATAATGGTCCAAGTAAAAATATATCCAAAATTATTGCAATTTATCTATTTGTTGGCGTGCTCTGCATCAATTTTGGGGTTGTCTTTATCTTTTTTCTGAATACTTAGTCTGACTATAAGAAGGACTGCGTAGAGGATAAAATTTGAAGTCATTGCTAGAAGTCAAGGTTCCAGTTCTATATGATTTTTCAGTTTGCACCTTTTGTGGTTGACCGTGTTGTTTGTTCTTGTTTTGTTGTTATTGTTTCCATCCCCTTGTTTGCTGGGTGTACATTTTGTGTGTTGATACTGTTTGCATTTTGCAGATGATTTTCGTCTATTTTGTGGTGATCTTGGAAATGAGGTGAATGATGATGTTTTGTCAAAAGCATTTTCACGATTTCCTTCATTTAACATGGCGAGGGTAAGTTCCCATTTGAATTACTTCGGTTAGCCAACTTAGCATGTTGTTAGCAGTTTTATGATAATAGTTGTTTGCATGGTCTATTTGAGCCTTCTGCATGTCTTCTTTAGATGTTTCTTTGAACTGCATGGAGCTCTCAAATTTCTCCTTTATTAAAGGTAGGTTCTCTGCATAGCAATTTGACTTGTAAGAATGTATTAGGTTTGCAAGATAGAAAAAAAGGAATAGTTTATAATTTAACAGCCATTAGTAGTGGCAATGTGGCATTGGGAAAGTGTCTAGTGGCTTGTTTTGCAGATGTTTTGGATTTGTTATGTTGGAATATGAAGAAGTCGGAGGTGGAGCGACCCATAGAAGGACTAAAATTGGGTGTGAGATAGAGGTTTCAGCTTCAATATATATATATATATTTTTTAAAGTAAAATATATTCAAAAGACTAACGGTTATTTAATTATCAGCTATTTCTTTTTTCTTTTCTTTTTTTTTTTTCCATCTTGCAAACCTAACACATTCTTACAAGTCAAATTGCCCTGCTGAGAATCCTACCTTTTCGGCATCTTTTGTATTCTTTTGGGTTCATTTCCCTTTTTTGAGCGTTTTAATGGTATCTTACTTATAAAGAAAAAAGAGAGTACTCTTTAACCCCCCAAAATAACAAGGTCATAATAGAATGATTAGGTACCCAAATAGGAACCTCCTCCCCTTCGAAGGATCTCCTATTTCTCTCCCTCCAAAACCCCCTCCATAAACAAAAGGGACATCTCTCCAAATATCTCAGGCATGACCACCCACTATACATCCTCTCCAAAACTCGAGCATGCTCCTCGTCGAATCGGGTAGCACCCAATGAATGCTGAACATGGAAAAAGTCATAGACCAAACATCTCTAGCCACTAGACAATGTAAGAGAAGATGGTCCACCGACTCTACATCTCTCTTGCACATGCAACACCAATTCACCACCATAAGGCGCCTCTTTCAAATTTTATCAATTGTCAGAATCTTGCCCCAAGTCGCAGACTAACCAAAAAAGCCACCTTAAGAGGTGCTTTAGTGTGCCATAATAGCCTTCCAAGGGAAGGGATTACCCCCAGTTTCCAAGAAAGCCCGGTAGAAAGTCCTAACCTCGAATCCCCATGAGAAGTGCCTTTCCAACTCCCCTCATCTACCACCCTCCCTCCATTTTTTGACCATATAACAAAGCCAATAAGTCATCTCCTCCACCTCCCAATCCTGCACATGTATCTCCAACTGAATGTCCGAAGTTAACCTCCCATGATCAAGGCGATAACAGTTGGCTACCAAGGTCTACTCATTCACCGCAATACGATAGTGTCTTGGGAATGCGCATGCCAACTGTTTATCCTTGCACCAAATATCCTCCCAAAAGAGAACAGACTCCGACCCTTGCCCTAAACCGAATATGCTTGGAGAAATCATTCCACTCCTTTCGAATGAGCTTCCAAAAATTGCATAGGAGATTTAGTGTCTTCCTATGCAATTTTTGGCAAAAGCTTGTAAGATTGTAGTAACTAAGAAACCTTAAGATTTAAAGTTATTGCCGAATAAGAGTGCGACATGGATTGCTCATTCCTCGTTAAAAGTTCGATGTTTCAGTTTATGGAATAAATGGTACAAAGGATTTTCGAAAGTGTGGTTATCCAACTATACTAACTAGAGTAGTATTCCACAAGGAAAAAAAAAAAATGTTTGTGAATCTGGTCACTGAATTTATAGAAAATATGGATTATGTTCGTTTCCACTGTGTGCTAATTTGCTTTGGAATATGGACATGTCACATATCAATATTACATGGCTATCTAGTTGGCTAATTAGTCCTTAAATAGTTTGGAAGTTCAGTTATGTCCTTTTTGGTTCTTATCTTCTTTTCCTTTTCTTTGTCAAGAAAATTTCAGTAAAAATAGAAAACATATAAAAGACTAGCTCAGTAGTGCACGAGGCTCTCACCATTGTGGGGTTTGGGAAGAGTTTGATGTACGCATCCTTTTTTTTTTGATAAGTAATAATAAATTAAAAAAGGCGTTCAATAGGGTAACGCATCCCATAGACATAAGAGAAACTGGGAACTATGGCCCCAATGAATCCAAAAAAGAAATTAAATCATCAGAAGAGGAACAAGAACTTTTGTTCGCATAACTGAAGAGAGAACGAATAATAAAAAGTTTTAGTGTCGCTGTAGACGACTCCTTTCTTTCAAACATTCTACTATTTCTCTCCCTCCAAATGCACCACCAAATGCAATGTGGTACAGATCTCCAATAATCACGAGCACTTCTACTCACACGACAACTTCTCCAAGCATGAATCAGCTCCTTAGTAGAACGTGGCATTACCCAATATATGCCAAAAAGCCCAAGAATAAGATTCCAGCAGTTGTGCGCTGCAGAATAATGCATTAGGAGATGATCAACTGACTCCCCATTCTGCTTACATAAGCAACACCAATTAGCAAAATAATTTCCCCTTTTCCTTAAATTATCGATCATCAGAATCTTACCCCAAACGGCGGTCCATACAAAAAAAGCCACCCTAGTAGGAGCCATAGAGCGCCATATAGTCTTCCATGGAAAATCATAGGGTGCAAAATTAGACAAACATAAGAACAAAGACCTTACTTCAAAACGACCATGAGAAGAGGGAATCCAAATCAAATTGTCATTACCCCTACCAATTCCTTCCTGCCGATACAATTGATCCAAAAAAATGCTCACATCTTCAAGCTCCCAATCCTGAAAAGAACGCCGAAAAAGAACATTCCACGTAATTTCACTATTATCAAGCTGATAGCAGTTAGTTACGGTGGCATGTCTATCAACAGCAATACTAAATAATTTGGGGAAAGTACGACATAAAGGCTGATTCCCACATCAATGATCTTCCCAAAAACGAACGCAACTGCCATCACGAACTCTGAATCTAACATTAGGGGAAAAGGCATCCCATCCTTTCCGAATGGATTTCCTAGCCCCAACTCCTCCCGCAATAGAAATCAAACGTGTAGTTCATCCGCCAACATCATCCCTATACCTGCAGGAAACTAATCTACGCCAAGGGCGGTGTCTTTCCTTCCCGTATCTCCACATCCATTTGCCCAAAAGAGCTTGTTTAAAAGGAATCAATCGTCTAATGCCGAGACCCCCCCGTTTTATAGGCTTGCAAACATGCTCCCATCTAACAAGATGATACTTGAACTTTTCTCCCCTTCCTCCCCAAAGGAAATTCCTTTGAATTTGTTCAATTCTATCAGCAACAGTGCATGGAATTTGGAACATAGAAAGAAAATAAGTGGGGAGGCTTGATAAAGTGCTCTTGATAAGAGAAACTTTACCCCCCATTTAACAAATATTGCTTCTTCCAACCTGCCAACCTCTTTGCATACCTATCAATCACAGAATCCCAACTCCCCACTAATCTGGGAGAAACCCTATGGGCAATCCCAAATAAGGGATAGGAAAGAAACTCACCCTACACCAAAGAACTGCAGTTAGAGAAGAGATGTCCTGTACATTCCTGACTGGAACAAGCACACTCTTGGCCACGTTAACCTTTAGCCTAGAAACTGCCTGAAAGCAAGCCAGAATGCATCTCAAATATTTAAGTTGAGACACATTTGCATCACAAAAAACTAGAGTGTCATCTGCAAATAACAATTGAGAAATCTCCACCTGATTTGCAATATCTCTTCCCACCCGAAATCCCTTGATGAGATCAAGATTCTTTGCCCGACGCATAAGTCTGCTTAAGCCCTCCATAACAATAAGAAAAAGAAAAGATGACAATGGATCACCTTGTCTTATACCTCGAGAGCACCCAAAAAAGCCGGCTGGAGAGCCATTCACAAGAATTGAGAACTTAACCAGACAAACATGTTTGAATCCATGTCCTCCATCTACTTCCAAACCCCATTCTTTGAAGCAAATAGAGAAGGAAATTCCAATTAACATGATCATAAGCTTTCTCAATATCAAGTTTACACAGAACTCCAGGAACACCATTACGCAACCTTGAATCCACACATTCACCGGTGATAAGAACTGAATCAAGAATTTGCCTACCTCCAACAAAGGCATTCTGGGAATCTGAAATAATCCCATCCATAACTTATCGCATTCTTTGAGCAAGCACCTTAGCTATGAGTTTGTAAATACAACCCACTAAGCTAATAGGACGAAAATCCTTAATATCTGAAGCGTTTCCTTTCTTAGGGATGAGGGCAATAAATGATGCATTAAGCGATTTCTCAAATACACCTGTAGAATGAAACTCCTGAAAGGTGCTCATCACTTCATTTTTCACAACCGCCCAACTTTCCAACAAAAAACGCATAGTAAACCCGTTAGGCCCCGGGGCTTTATCCTCATTGCAACTAGATAAGGCCTTTAGAACTTCTTCTTCAGTAAAAGGAAGCTCTAGTCCATCTCTCTCCATCTCAAAAATAGCCTCAAGAGGAAGACCATCAAGCTTGGGTCGCCAACTTAAAGGTTCCGCATACGGAGAGGTTGTTTCGCATTTCAACCTTTGACCTCCGGGTTAGAATGGAGCAACCTTACCATTACGTTAAGACCCGTCCTCTGAAAATCGGAATTTCATAAATTGAAAAATATTATACTATTGCTAGCAAAGTGGTTTGATGTTACGCCCTACCCTTGTTGTAAATTCAAGTCCTTTCACAAAGAGATTTCTTCCTCCAACATATGTAGGAGCATTGACCAATTATAATAGTTGAATCCTGTAGGGTAACAAGAACAATGCATATTATGCAAGATAGGTGATGAGTAGCTGACTCTTAAGGAGTTTTGATGATGGTGATTAAGAGAGCTGTACTACGCTGGCTAGGAGCAGGGAACTAGAAGTACTATTTTGTGAGTGATGGTGTGAATTAAATATATATATATATATATATATATATATATATATATTTCCTAGTTATGGTGTGAATTAATTGTAGTCAGTATTTCCTACATAAACTTCATGGCTGTTTCTGACTCTATTTTCTTTTCACTTTCTAACATTGCCAATGTACGGTATTGTTAAATGCCTGCATGTGGATGAAAGAGTAGATAACTAAAACAATAATGATATTTGAAATGGTCATGTGGGTTCTTTAGGTGATGTAAGATCATTTCCCTGTTTTCTATGTAGCAGCCATGTCTTACGTGGAGTGGAGCTCAAGTAAAACAGTTACTTATTTTAAATATTCATGTACCTTTTGTAGTTGGTGTTAAGTAATTTCTATAATGTGTATATTCTTGTAGTTCTAGTTGATGTCAGGTCATTTGTTTGTTTTCCATGTGATAGCCATGTCTGACAACAAATTACATGGAGCTCAAATAAAATGGCTATTTAGTTAAAAATATTGAAGTACCTTTTGTAGTTGGTGATCAGTGGTTCCAATTGGCATTTTTTGAATTATTTAATAAAAGAAAAGGTTTTAGATTTATTTATTATTAATTTTTTTTTTTTAATATAGAATCTTCCCAGGGATTCATTCTTTAGATTTGAAAGGTAGTTTTCATAGAAATATATTTAGATGTATTTTTATTTTTATTTTTATATAATCTTCCTAGAGATTCATTCTTTAGATTTGAAAGGATAGTTTTCAAAGTTTGAACTGATGTTGTTATACAAAATAGATCATGAACAGTAAATAAATAGATGAAGAATTAAGTATAAATTGGCAACTATAGGGTTTTCCGTGACAAAATTTACACGATTAGGTGGGCAATGTTTGGTGCTACTCTCTCCCCTAGAAACATGGAAAAAGAAAAAGAAAAAACAGGAAAAAACTCTACAATTCTCCGATTACATATTGTTGTGACTATTTACTTCTGTTACCTTCTTTTTTCATTTGTTATCTTACTTGTACATATCCCAGTTTGTTTTTTGGTTTGTTTCTGTGCTTGTGAGCAAAATAATTGTGTGGACAACATTGTGGTGACTGTACTAATTTTATTTTACAAACCCACGATTCTTGCTATTTTTCCCCGTAATTATCACGCTTTCCCCGTATACCTTTAATTGCTGTGGTTATCTTCACTATTTGTTGCTTTGTCACTCTCCTCGGCAGTATTTTCTGTTGGGTTTGTATTTCCTTATTATATTTTCAAAATTAATTAAAAAAATGTATGTATGTGTTCTTTCATGGGTGTAGGTTGTCAGAGATAAGCGCACTGGCAAAACCAAGGGCTATGGATTTGTTAGTTTTGCCAACATTACAGACCTTGCGGCGGCACTTAAAGAAATGAATGGTAAGTATTATTTTTAATCATGGGTATTTTTACATGGTTTTTCTACTTATTATTAGCGTAGTTTTCTGCACCATGCACAGCCAGAGTGTCAAAGATTATATATCCATAATATTAGGAGTCTACCATAGCGTTATGTGGCTTTTCAGTGGTTCTGTGTACAAATAGTTAGTATTATCAGCCCTTTTTTTGTAGTAGTTTTTGTGACTTGTGAGGTGTTGATAACAAGCTGTGGAAGCAAGAAAGGATCGCTAAATATATAACTAGCTCAGGTGAGTTGATATTGGTATCACTTGCAGAAATAAATTGTACTTCGAGGCTAAGGTGCCTGAAATTTGTCAATCAGGACTGCTGACAGCAAAGACTAAAAATGAACATTCTAGCACAGTTAATTAGTTGTGCCACATCAAGTAGTTCTAATGGTATAAAGTATTTAATTTAAAATTCTAAATCAAACATGGATTATACTTTTATCACTAATATTATATGCAGAGAAGTGGAAATAACAGTGAGGCTCCAGAATGATGACTGCAGTTTTGCTGGAAGACTATAAATGACACTAATTGTAACATTGGTTGCAGGTAAATATGTTGGAAATCGGCCAATCAAACTACGCAAGAGCAACTGGAGAGAGAGGACAGATTTTGAAGCCTTGGAAAGGCAAAAGGTGCATTTCTGTGTTCCTTCAGCATACCTTTTCAAGTTATTCCTTCGATTTCATGTATGTCCACTTACTTACCATGGATTTTTGTGCTGACCTTTTTGGCAGAACCACACTCAAAAGAAACCAAGGTTTCCTAAGAAGAGTGTGTTGCATAAGTGAGGACCCAACAATGATGGTAGCCAAGTAAGTAAACAATACATAAATTTCAAAGCTTTTAGTTTTATAAATAAATAAATAAATATATATATATATATATATATATATATATATATTATTGCTTTGTCTTTTTCTTTTTTGATATTCTTTGTGTTGAGCATCTGAACTTCGATCTATCATAGTCATTTTGAGTTTAAGAATGTAACTTTTTCGATCTTCATGTACAATAAATTAAATTGAAACTTAGCAACCAATGTTAGCGGTGCTTGAGAATGGATTTTGCTTTTAGGTACCATTTTGGATATGTCATGGATGGTAGAATCCTCCTTGTAATTTAAAAGTCATTAGATATGGAAAATCTGTTTGCTGGATAAAATGTTTAAATCTAGGTATATGACATCAAATTTTAACCAAAATCTGTGCAATTTATTACTTTATCATCTATACTAAAATTCTACTTTAGTTTTTCTAGCCTTGTTCAGGAAAGAATACCAAATGTCATTTGAATATTTTAATGAGGGTGATTAGGATATGATAAACCGGAAAAGGTACGTGGTCAAAGCCCCTCCTACAGATGATTTGAAATGTGGAATTCTAAATCCCTTTCTGGCCTCAAAACCTTCCTCATAGTCCTCAACTTAAAATAACTTTCAAGGCTTTCATTTGTCTGAAACTATAAGTTGCTGGTTAGTTTTGTGCTCCGAATGTGTTACCCTGCTTCTTTACTATTTATTTTATGTTCATTTTTGCAATTGCACCCATATTTTTTTCTCATCATTTTGTTAGTTTCTTTTTTCTTATTTGCTGAAATTTGTTTATTTTTTGGTTTCAGACTCACTGAGGGGTCAAGTTCTGAAATTCTTTAGGTGCAATGCGAATGTGAACACTTGTCAGATGAATGAGCCCTTCAGTTCTGCTTCCACAGGCATCCGCTCATAAGATAAGACCGTCGTCCTCAAACATTTAATCAAGTCTACTGCAAGATTCGTTTTCGCAGTTGAATTTGTGTATTGGTAAATACTTTGGTTTTCGATGAAAGGTATACACTGAATGGTGAAGTTGTAAACTGAATAAAGTTTTTTTTAATATACTAGACTTGTTGAAGGCATGAATAGACCAGAGATGCATACCAAAACTATACAAAAATTGACTCTGAATTCCTGAATGCACACTACCTCTATTCAGTATTCGCCATGGAGAAGGATGGTTTTATTTTAGGAAAGAGCAAGGCTACTCATTGTTCACGTTGAATTGAGAGATTTATTAAAAGACTAATTTTAACTTTTCACCGATTTCAAAAACTACTTCAATCCGATGGTTATATAAAGAGCTTGTTATGAGAAGACATTTTGACATGCGCTTATGTTGCGTGCTTCTGGACGTTGGGTTGGGGGAGAAATTTAGGCCTTGTTTGGTATCCGTTTTGTTCTGCTCTTTTTGTTTTGGGGCTATAGTGTTGATTTTGACAACAAAAACATGTTTGGTGCGGCTTTGTTTTATTTTACATGGTGCTAAAACACTTTGTGAACAGTGGTCCAAAACTAAAACACCAAAAATTTGTTTTTTCTTATTTTGACAATTGTTAATGGTCTAAAACCATAATAGTGGCGCAACACGGGTCATAAATAAAACGTCTAAAATATTATTTTTAAACATATTTTTGATTTTTTTCTGCGTTTAAAATAAAGTGCATGCCAAACGGGTAACAGACCGTTCCATATTCCATGTTTCTAAGTGCACTTTTAAGATGGAAGATCCTCGAGAAATCTAAACTGCTTTAACTTGAGGTAGAATGTCACATAAAATCTTGCTGCCACAAATTCCATTGCAAGTTTTCATTTTATGAACAGTTGGCATAATATCAATCACCATTTTCATTTTGTGAATAGTGGCATATATTGACCAAAGCAACGAGTGATGAATGATGGTCTAAACGACGGGTAGATATTGGATGAGTTAGGCATGCCACATCATTAGTATGTAACTTAATCAACACACATCATTTCAGTTAGTTGAGGCAAGCCTGAGAAAAGTTTTTATATTTGAGTGTGGGATCAATTTTATTGAATACTGTATTTTGATTGGGTCATATCCGACTCACACAATTTCTTCTCCCAAACGAAATGGTTGGAGCTACTTTGTTTATTTACTAATTGACCAGGATGCGTTAAGAGGGGCATAAAATGTTACCATTTAATTGGCAAAATTTCCTCACTTGTTATAAATATAGAGGTAGGAGAATGCTTTAATAACTTCTCTGTACACTATATTTAGGGTCTGGTTGGCTGGACTTCCTGTAGCCTCAAAACAGGCTTCTAAGCTCAGAAAGTCTTTCTGAAAACGAATTTTTAAAAAGTCGAGATGGTTTAGAAGCCCTATTAACCAAAGCCAATAAAATATGTTTTCTGATCAACTTCTCGTAAGCTACACACTTTTTTAAGTAATAAATATAAAATTCCTATATTGTTCAATTATTTAACCTATTTCTATTTCTGAATTTCATTGCAAACTTTTATCTTTCTCTTTCTGTATCATCTTCTTCGTCTCTACCCAACAAATAAAAAAATAATAATAATAATGTTAGAGCAAAATTTCGCATAACATTGTTGAAAAAAGTATTCTTGAAAAACGATTCAACAAAGGAAGAACAAAGAGATTGAAGGAATTGCAGGAAAAACTTCTATTGACTCCTATTTGGCTTCAAAGTCTGAAGAGTTCCAAAATTTATGAACTCTCATCCAAAATAAAATTCTAAATAACTTTTCTTTCTCTCAAAAAATATATATATATATATATATGTATATATAATTTATATATATATATTTTTAAGGCTAGCCGTTTGTTGTAAAAGTGATTTATAGTTATAAATAAAAATAAAAATGGGATATTTTTGCTGCCATATCTCTCTTTCATTTTATTTTTCTTTCCTTTTCCTTTTTCTTTTTCTTTTTCTATCTCTTTCGACTTCTATCAGGTAGTCAAGAAAAAAAAACTTCTACCATGTAAATCGGGTAAATTTGTATAAATGGATCTTCATTATGTCAATTAATCGTTGATGCATCATGGTAAATTCACTCCATCACTTTAATCATGGTTTATTAAGGATATAACTGTCAACTTATATTATGTTAATTGTTAAAAGAACTTCAAAAAATTTACCCACCAAACAACTTTTTTGTTTTAAATTCCTTTCATCAAAATGCATTCTTCAAAGCCGATGCAGTAGAAGGAATTTTAGAAACTGAAAACTCCACCAAACAAGTCTCAAAAATGAGCTTCGCTTTGCAAGCTAAAGACGACAACTTACTGTACATATTAATGCATTTACACCACATACAAGTCTTTGACACAATGCATTAAGGGCATGTTTGGCAACCACTTTTGTTTTGTGCTTATATTTTGACTTGAAACAGAAGTAACATTTTTGCTTTGGAGTGTGTTAAATACTATTCGGAAGCACATTTGGTAACGTTATATTTGTTGGAAGATTTTTGGAAACAAAAATATGATAACTTACTTGGTAAAAAAGTGTTGCAAGTTTGAAAAATAAAATGGGTAATTAAAATGGTCATTTAAGAGTTTTTTTTAATATTGTTCATCGCTGCAATGCTTTCGCCATTGTGCAGAAGCAACCGAAAACACCAATTTGATGCTTTCGGTTTTGACATTTTTTTAGAAACGTTTCGATACCATTCAAATCACAGCAAATGTTACCAAACAGGCTTCTGTGTTTTGCTTCACTATAGTACACTCTCCAGAGCAAAAAAACACGAAGCAGAAGCAGTTGCTAAATGGTGCCTTAGGCCCTATTTGGTACGCGTTGTGTTTTTGTCATTTTGTTTTAGCCTAAAACAAAACAAGTGTTTTGTTATGGGGTGTTTTAAGTTGAAAACGGAAACATGTTTGGCGACGAAAATTTGCAGTTGGAATTTCGAAACAAAAACATGTATAACATGTTTGGCAAGGTATTTCGTTTCAAGAAATATGAAAACAAAACATGTTTGACGGAATCAAACTGTTGCCAAAATTACTGAAACAAAAATTTGAAATATGTTTTGTAAAGAGTGTTTTTAATTTTTTTTGAAAATTTAAATTGTATTAATACATTATTATTTATATATAAGAGTACATTGTTTTATATGGTTTGAAAATTTATAACTTTACTAAATATAAAGTAAAATTTTATTATTCATTAATTTTATTCCACAATTGATATAACTTCTAATTTTTATTTTTATAGTTTATTTTAAGTTTTAGTGTATTTAATAATATTACATTATGGCTTTATATTACAATTTTTTTTTTTTAACTAATCTATAAAAACCAATAAAATGCATTTTCTTCCCTTTTATTAAATTTTATTTTTGTCCAATTTTGTAAAATGAAAGTGTGATTCTAAACCTAATTTAGCAAGAGTGTATCTAATTTACTAAAGGAAAATTTTTAAGACTTATTTATCTTTAAATTAAAAAAAAGTAAAACTTGATGATAATTTTCTCTATATTTTACCATGTCACTCCTTTCATTTTTTTTTACCTTTTATAAAAATTTTGGAGGGTTGATTTGTTGTCAAATTTGTTGAATTAGAAATTGTAAAGCCTATGAATGCTGGATATTGTTTTGAGAATTCTATAAGACATTGTTTCAATATCAAACTAAAATAGACTGAAAAAATTGGTCAACAAATTATTATCAAACTTTTTTGTTAGTATACAGATATGAGTTTCAAGATATTACACATTCCATGTCTCTCTCTCAAACAGACACACCAAACTTACCACAGGAGCACTCTCACTCCCAAAACTCATCTTAAGCATCTCAAAACATAAATATTACATCATTTGTCAACAACCACAATAAAAGTATTAAAGTAAAATTTAACTAATATATTACATCATTTGTCAACAGCCACAATAATCAACAACAACAATATGAGCAATAACATAAATAATATATTTATAGTAAGACAACAACAGTCAACATAGAAAATGTAGTTTTGCCTATATTGTTGAGCTTGCATGACAACTACATTCTCCAACTCTTGATCCATATGACCACCCACTTGCACACGTTGGTGCATGTCATCCAACCATATAAATGCACGAGCATGTGACTAAAACATTAAACATTTGTATATAATTATAATGCCCGGTGACAATAACATGTATGTATAAAAATTTGGCATTCAATGGATTCTATACCTCCCAAGCTGGACATCTATAGAATGAACGTCTATAGTTCTTTGGAGTTCCAGCTGTATAAAGATTCATTGGACCCCTTCCACATGCACAAGGTGGATCTTCACCCTGTATCTTATACATGATTGTGATAAGCGCTGAATATTGCATATTTGCGTCCTTAAACGTGCATATGTTAAGGCCTTAAGTGATACTTTTACCCGGTTTAATATTAATTTTTTATTATTTACTTTTATAGGTGATGTCCCAAAGAAAATGATCAAATCGTGTTTTTTAAGCATAAAGCAATGTTCCTGAGGCCTTTGGAGGTGTTTTGGACCTTTCGGGCTGAATTGGGGGTCATCCGAGTGAGATTTGATGAAATTTTGAAATAAGGCTCGAGCATCCTTAACAGGGTTCTAGCACCCTTGAAGGATTCTGGACCTGTTTTAGTATTTTGTACATACATTTTTACTCGAAACTCCAAATTGGCAAAACTCAATGGCTATGGAAAGAAGACTCGAAGGCCGTCGTTTTTGTGTCTAATAACAATTTTTAGATTCGGACTCCAAATAGGTCAAGACAACGTTACAAAACTTCATGTTAAGAGGGTGCTCGAGCACTGTTTAGGGTGTTGCTCGAGCACCATACTGAAAAATGCTAAATTTTGGCTAAGTGTTGGGCAAAAAGACGCTTCGGATATTATATGAAAAAAATTGACTAAGTGTTGGAGAGGATGCTCTCATGCTAGGACTTAAAAATTAATTACGAGATTATTTTAAAATTAGTGCTTTTGACCCAAGATGACTCCAGAAATCCTCAAGTCCATCCGAGAGTGAATAGAAGTCAGTTTTATTCTATAAAAGAGGGTGAAAGGTCATAAGAAAACTCTCTCATAATTTTTATATCTCGCAGCGGCTTTTAGGGTTTT